TTTTATTTAATATGCTTTCTATTTGAAAGATAATTTATATAAAAACATAATTCACAATTTAAATATGATTCTCTAGCATCACTTATTTTTAAGTTTCAACAATTTAATAAAGTGACACATAATTCACCGTATAATACCATGATAACTAATTATTTGTAAATATACTAGCTAATACTGAGCTATAAAATTAATAAGTATTGTATCTCGTAAACGTGAAAAAAATAATGTTTAGAAAAATAATTATAAAAAAATTATGGACTATTATATAGTAAAGACATAACAAATGTTAATAAATAATACTTTTTGAATGAAAGATTTATTTAAAATTAAGGAAAAATGCATAAGTCCCCNAAGCAGTTCGTGTGTGATTCAAGTGTGCAAACCTGAACCTACATGAACCAGATTGAAGAACCAGCTCCATAAAGAGTTTTATGTATCTTTCTTTATTTCTAATTCAATTATAGTAGGTGTTTTATATTGTACCTTTCAGCTTTATCTAGAGGGGAAAATGCATAAGGACCCCCTGACCTATACTCGGATTCCCAACTACACACTTTTTCTTTGCGGGAATCCTATTACCCCCCTAAACTTATTTTAAATGGAATTATTTGCGCCCTTAACGCTGACGTGGCAGAGTATGTGTATTTCACTCTCCTTTGGGAGAGTGAGAAGCAAGAAAAAATAATTTTCAGATTATTTTTTATTCTTTTTTATCATTTTTTCTTACTTTTTTTTCCTTTTCCTTTTCCTTTTCCTTTGTCTTTTTTCTTTTACTTTTTTTTTCGTTTCTTCTCTACTTCCGGCGGATATTCATTCACCGGTGACTTTGTCTAACCGTTTTTCTTCCATTTTTTCTTTTCACACACAAATTAAACTCTCAAAAAGATCTATTCATAAGCAAAGCAAAATACACCCAGATTTGGGGGAAAAAATTCATCATCGGAAAACCGTCCCACGCAGGAAGAAAAATGATGTATTGAAATTTTAACTGGAAAAAGTTTTCTCAGCTTATATTCATTTTTATTTCTTTTGCTCTTCCTCCCACACATGAACTATACTTTCAAGAAATTTTTTTATATATATATAAAACAAAACACACTTAGATTGGGATAAAAATATCGCCGGGAAAAATAATTCGCCGGAAAAAATGGTGTTTGTGAAATTCCAACGACCACCATTTTATGCTGCCGGTGACCAAAACAATAAAAAAGAGAATGAAATAACCAAAAAAAATGAGAACAATAAGAAGTAAGAAAAAAGGATAAGAAAAAGAAGAAAGAATAAAAAAAGTACTAAAAATACATGTGGGGCACGTGTAGCTCACCATTTGTCAAGAGTTTGGTTGTCAGCGTTAAGGGTGCAAATAATTACATTTAAAATAAGTTTAGGGGGGTAATAGGATTCCCGCAAAGAAAAAGTGTATAGTTGGGAATCCGGGTATAGGTCAGGGGGGTACTTATGCATTTTCCCTAAAATTAACTATCATAGCAGTCTTAGTGGATAGCATGCAATAATTTTATTTTAATTATGACATAAAATACTCTCAACTTATAAGAAAAAACTAATTTTTAACAGTCAATGATTTATTAAGAAAATTTGAAGATTTACAGGGTTAGTTACATACAATTGCATAAAGTTCTATTAAGCGAGCACAGTATGTTGGGCGTTGGGCGTGTTCGGGGCGTAAGCCCCGATGGCCGAGACGTAAGTCTCACGGAACTAAGCCCCACACATAAGCCCAGGGGCGTTTTACGAGTGCTCCGCCCCGGGGCGAGTCCCAATTCTGCCTTTGAAAACAGAGGATTAGACTCCGGAAGAAAGGAATGAAAAAAGAAAAGAAAATGAAAAGGCAAAAGCAAAAGAAAGAAAATAGAAAGAAAAAAGAGAGATAAGAGGAAAAAGCCATGGCTTCTGGTTGTCGACAGTAGTAGCAGGTAAAAAGAAAAAATGGAATAGAAAAAAGGATAAAAGGAAAAGAAGAAAAACTAAAAAATAATTATGAAATAAATATGTGGGAGCGTGTGTATATCACCACTTAGTATAGTTTTGAGTGTGACTTCTCAAGAGGGTTTATATTCCACTTCATAATAGTCCACAGGGGTCGTAGGACCCTCTCAAAGAATAATTGTGTAACTGCAAATGCCAGATGAGTTCATGTTTTTTTTTTTTTTTGCCTTTTTCTTTTTGGAATCTACAAGCTCTTATATTAAATGCAAAGGCGTTCTCTACTGTAATAAAAGTACAAGTAGGGATCATGTTACAGTGTAGAAGTTAAGATTCTTTTTCTATTCTTTCATGGGAGGCGCTTGAATAGAATAAGGGAAGAAGGACTTAATGACAACGATATCTTTTATTTGCAAGATACATACGAGGAGAAATACTAGATAATTTTTGATATACCAAGATTTAAATAAATGAAAATAAATCATCTAACTTGTTTTATTTTTCATCGATTTGAGCTTTAATTTTTCATGGTTCAATCTAATTTTGTTGATTGTTCTGTCCTTTCCTAGCAAAACAGGTGAACCTTGTTGTTTACAAACTCTCTCTTAAGTTGCACTAGGAAGTAGAAATGCGCTATCAAGGGCTTGTAATCTTAGAAAAGTGAGTATTCAAGGACAAATGATTGACTTGTCTTAAACTAACTAGTGTGAGTGTAGCAATTTTGAAAATCTAAAGTGCTTTTGGAACATAAGAAGTTGTTAAATGATATTGGTTTCTTGAGCAAAGCTCTTCACCTTCCTCTAGCATTCTTCGGGTCTTTATGCAAACTAGAAAAATTAACTTTATCAAATACAAGGTTTGCTTAGAGTGAGGCGATTAGATTTGGGGGCAATTGGAATGTCTTGAGGTCCTAAAGTTGGCAAATATCATTCAATAGGGCGACCTGATATTCAAAAATTGGAGGTTTTAACCAACTAAAAAAGTATTGCAGATTGAAAGAGCAAACCCCAAATATTTCAAGGTTGCAAATCTCCAATTTCAAAGACTTAAATACCTTATCCTAAATCATGTGATAAGCTTGAGACTGTACTAATTGAGCTGGTTAATGTCAGTAACCTTTAAGAGATGGCATTGGAGAACACAAACAAGGTGATAAAATTATCTAACGGAAAGCAAGAAATGCATGAAGAACACATGCAAAAAGCAAATCTAGAATGTAAATAGAGGACACGAAAAAAAGAGCTAGGCTCTACAGAGTTTCAAATTCAAGCTCACTCATTTTGCTCCCCCCCCCCCCCCCCCCCCCC